TGAGTCGTTTATGAATTTTTGCTAATTAAGTTGTTTTTCATGATACTGTTGTTTCAGGTTCCAAATTAGGAGATCGTGATGTCCTTTTAGGCCAATTTATTAGTGCAGTTAGGAATGTAACTCCTTGAAAATTCCTATTTTTGACAATAGGGAGGGTTTTTGTGGACTTTTTTAATGGTTATTTTAAAGACTTATTGATTAAATGCTTCTTGTGTAAAATATAACTTTTTGGGGTATTACGGTCCCTCTGCCTGTGGACAGTCACCACTTCTCTTCATCTCTTAAAGTGAATCAAGCGTCTACTCACTCTCATAATTATAATGGAACTTTCCTGCGTCATTGTACAACATGTGCACGGCCCGTTGTATTACAACTCCCTGTTACCTGCAAATATTCCCTCTTTCCTTAATAATTAATTAATTTCTTCTAAACTTTCCTTTCCCCTTTTCTTTTTGTCAGCCACATTCTATCACTTTTTATTTACTTAAAAGTTGCCTAACTTTGCTGTTAAGAGGGGAAAACCAGCATGTTTTTAATGTCCTTATTGGTTGTCCTTTCTTGTGACCAATTATTTTAATGTGAATTAGTACTTATTACACATATTTGGTACAGCAGAAGTCGATATGTAGAAAACTTTTTGTAAACTTGGAGCAAAAGGCACACTGGCACAATTGTTTTACAGCAGGACGTGTATTCCGCATTGACATCTTAAGTGACATCCTCAGCCGCCAATGAAGGTCTCACAAGATTTGTCAGTATTGTAACTTTGTTCTTTTGTTCAGTGTTGTCAAATTTTCTGAAAAAAATTAACCCAAGAAACTTTCCTAGCAGAAAAAGTGGGAAAAGTTTTTAGGCATGCCCGAAGGTGAAGCCCATGTCTTTTTGGCTGTTCAGTCCAAAAATTACATCAGTTTTCTCCAGTATTTATTAATCTCTAGGAATGGCATTTTCCCAAGAAAATTCCTTTTCTCTGAGAAAATTTTAATTTCCTGGAAAATCCTGACCTAATCAGCTGAAATTGATTGCATTATCTCCTGGGATTAGCGTTGAAAATTCATTGAGAGCGGTGCAATCTTTTCTTCATCACAGAAAAAAAAATGGTTGAGCATCTGTGTTCATCTTAGAAGATGCCATTGCCCAGAAGGTTTTAGAATTTATTTCAGTGTACGAGTAAGTAAGTAGCTTTATAAAATGTTTCATTTTTTGTTCATGAAAATTTTATTTACATTTTTTCATTGTGTCTGTTCAGGAGGAAAAGGAAACGTGTTCGGGCAGTAGCAACCTCTGATTCTCAGTCGGATGGTTCGGGATCTGATTCAAAATCTGTAAGAACTCTTCAAATAATTTTTTTTTTTTTCATTGTTGTATGTGCTCAGAAGTGATTCCCTCAGTTTTTAATGTTAGTGGAAGGAAGAAAAAAGAAAAGAAAAAAATACTGAACTCACCCAGACTCTTTTTTTTGAAGGCAATGGGAGTGAGTTCTAAAGAAGAGGGGTTTTTTTAATAACAGTACTAAAATTTAATGTAACTTTTAAAACTAATATCTGGCCAGGAACTGGAAGAGAATTCCAGAAAATTAACAAATATACTAAATTGAGCTAAAAATTTTCAGTGAATGGAAAATGTCGTAGTGGACGTTTTTCAGTTCCTAAAAAGAGCGATGCAACCATAAACATGAATTTTTTTGGTTTTTCAATAGCTCAGTAATGATGATATCAAACCTTGGAGGTGACATTTTTCCAAACAAATGGAACTTATCCTATGCTTGCATAAAGAAAATAAAATTTTTGAATAAGATATGCGTCATCCTAAAAATCTCTGCAATAAAATAGAATTTTCATTTATTTCTGAGTGGAGCATTTTTAAAAACAAACCATTCAATTTTGGTCAGGTTGGACATCTTTCAACGCTTTTTGTTTCCAAATTTTTGTCAAGCGCCTTGTTCACTGTCATTATGTAATAGGTAAATTTTAGGTTTTCCAGCACAAAAGTTCATTTTTCCTGAGACAGTAACAAGCTCAATCTGGTTCTGGTATCTTTGAAAATAATGTGTCATTTTTTTTTCCACCTCAGTTCTATCTCTTAAAACTCAAGTTATTTACCGAGAAGTTGTTTTAAAAACCTCTCACCGTTAGCACCTGCCTCTATTTATAGTTAAATACTCTGTTTTCACTCATTCCTTGGTCCTTTTTTCCCCCTGATGGATGTATGTAAACGTAAACTATTCTTTTGGAGAATTTTGAAGAGTTCAAAAATATGATATCTTAGAGATTCAAAATAGCCGTGGGCTTAAATCTACCAAATCGACTTAGGATTAATACTGTCTATTTGCAAACTAACGATTCTACAGGACAAAGATAAAACCTCGCAATTTTTGTATTTATTAGGTTAGGTTTGCAATTTTTTTTTTCAATTAACAGCGTCATCACAGCTCTTCTATGTCGAATTGGAAAAACTTAAAACATCAGCTTGCGTATATTATACTGTGGAATGTGGCAAACTTGCTAACTCATTTTTGCCAAAATTTGCATTTACTTGGTGCCATTCCTCAGCCATTAGAATGTGCAATCAAATTTCAAATTTTGAAAAAATACTGCAACCATTCTTAGTAAAAGAAAAAATGATTCTACTTAGTAATTTTAATGTCTTTATATTTATTCTTTTTACAGCCGAAGAAAGGTAGAAAGAACATTAAAAAATTGAAGAAGCTCTCTGAAACAACAAAAGCTGTTAACCAAGCGGAAGCTGAAAGAATAAAGAGAATTTCTGAACGTCAAAAGATCGTAAGTACCAATCTTTTTTGCAGCCTGCAGGCATTCCCTGACAAGCCTTGTGCTGAATTTCAAATCCGAATTCTCTGAGAAGTTGATAATTTTGAGGGAAAGTTTATTTCAGAGGTGCAAAACTTGTATGACCGAAAGTCCAATCTGATCGCTGTCAGGCGCCATAGAAATGCAAAGGCCACTGAAAAAGAATTTTTGAAATGTTGAGGCATCTGAAAAGAGAAAAAATGTAGAGGCAGTGCTCTTTTGTGAATGAAACCATGAAAAGTGTTTTCTCTCCGAAGGAAACTGCTGTAACTTTGAACTGTGCGTTTCATGCCAAGAAAATAGTGAAGCACACAGTCTTAGGTAGGCAGCAATGTGAAGGATGCCTCACAAAATGTAAGGCGAAACACCTTCTACACTCCTGGTTTATTTCTTCTCTTAGAAACGAAAGACTGTTTCATTATGGAAGGTGAAAAATATAAAAATCAATTCTCCTAAGACAGAATTTTTCTTGTCTCAAGACGGTGCAATTTTTGAAACTGAACTCGCTGATCAAAGCAGAGTCTTCACTACTGTCATGCTCTCTAATTTTTTGTTTGTTTTCCAACAGTACAATTCCGTCTTTAATGCGAGCTGTTTTGGGGAAAAGAAGACTTTAGATAGTTTGGTGCTAGATTTCGATCCAAAATCAAAGAAAGCGCTAGTTGCTGTCGAAGATGCATTAGTGAAGAAACTGAAGCCCCATCAGGTAACAAGAATTCTTTTGGTTTCCTGTCTTCATTTCTCTCTCTTCTCCCCCCCCCCTTTTTTTTTCCAAGAACTGGGTAACTGAAGTAGTGTTTGCTCAAAAATTTGCCAACTCTGTTCCTGAAAACTGTAAGACAGATGATAATCATACCAAGCTATTTTCCAGCAAAAGATGGGCAATTTTAAGTAACATTATCGTAAAAAGTCACATGAGCTCCAAAATACTACTTATGACTTATTTGGGGACAAATTAGAATATGAGTTTTTAATTTCATTGAAGCCTCATGCGGAGCGCAAAGAAGGAATCTTCTATTGACATAATTTATTTTCAACCTCCAAAAGGCTTTTTCCAGATGTGCAAAATTTTACTCCAGTTAAATCCTGTAGGTTTCCCCTCCTGAAAATGTTTAATACGAAACCCAAGAAGTGCTCGATATACCAGTACCTCACATAGATTGTATTGTGTACCATATGATTTACAAATTCTCGTAAAGAGATTGAATTTAAATCTGCCTCACTCTAAATGTCTCCTTCTTTTACTCTCGAGGCTTTATGACCCAGTCTGCAATATGAAATGCCACTTTGTTGTCAATAACTCCGAACGAAGCAAAATTCTCTTAATTTTTAAGGCATTAACTTTTTGTGGCTTAACAAAATTGTTTCTTGAAAATTTGCTAATGAATCAATTTCTATTTTTCAGGGCAAAGGAATAAAATTTATGTGGGACTCATGTTTCGAATCGTTAGATGTGGCGAAGAAACAAGAAGGATCTGGTTGTATTTTAGCGCATTGTATGGGTCTCGGAAAAACTTTACAGGTAACTTCTTAAAATCATAACTGTAAGTAGTGTTAAGTGCAGTGGAATTAATCAGCTCATTATCAGTTGCTTGTACTTCCAAGAATATTTTATATTCTAGGACAGGGAGCCTCTTGACTAGCCGATTGCAAAAAAGAAAAGTCTGCAGGAAGGGGTTTTTCAAATGAGAATTCTGCTTCATTTAAGAGTAAAAATCACTGGATATCTGTTAAATTGCAGACAATTTTCAAAAACAAGCTCACAAGATATTTTGTTTTTTGATGTTTTGAAAATTTCAAAGAGAAAGCAAACAGTTTGAAAATCCTCCTAATTCTTTGCTTTATTCATGTCTAATAATGTAGTTACGCTCTGCTTTGTAGAAGTGACTTTTCTCCTGTCTCAGCACTTCTTTAACATTCATTTTAACACCAATTAAAATCACCCAACATTTTTTTCCAGGTCATAGCTCTTACTTACACATTATTGACGCAAGCTTCAGAACACGTAAAAAGTGTATTGGTTCTGTGTCCCCTCTCAACAGTTCTAAACTGGTATAGTGAATTCGAAAAATGGTTGGAAGGTGTGGATCAATCCATCGAGGTTTACCATCTCACTGAGTAAGTGGTTTTTTGGTTTTTTTTTGGATGCGCTGGTTGCTCTATCTGTTACGGTCAATATTAGGGGGCCGGCCGATGCTGTCACTGACCGGCCAATGATAGCATCGGTCGAAATCGAGGGCCAATTATGTCATTGGCCAAAAAGCCCGGTCACTGTTAACATTTTCACCGCAAGGTGAACAATGGCCGGCCGATGATGAGAGTGGCCAATGACTGACAGCCATTGTTCGTTCACATTATAAAACACTATAAAACTGAAAACATACCACATGAGAGGAAACAAATGAGTTAATGTGTAATTACTACAGCTCTTTGATTTATTTTTTAGAAGGTTTTTTTATAATTTATTTTACATTTCTTTTGACTTAAAAAATTGGAGCATTTTTTTTTCGTTTTTGTTAAACGAAATATGAAGTTAAAAAATATGAAAAACTCTCGCGCGCGTGCCTCATTTTCACTTGAAATGACTTATAATACGGAAAAACACACACGAGTAGGCAGTAAAACATAGATTTAAAAACTCAGAACACAGTCATAGATTAAAAACACACACGAGTACAAGCACTAAAACAAATATTTAAAACAGGATTAAAACTTTCGAGTAAAACACTATATTAAAATAACACATAAAAACTACTTAAAAAAAATCGCGGATTAATTACAGGCCGTGTCCGTCGCGTGATCGTCTCAGAGAAGGAGAAAGCACACTGAATTTAGCATCCGAAATTGTAAACACGCCACTCACTCCGGCAAGCGGGGATAACAGTAACACTCTTATCAAGATTGAGATTTGAGACATATCATCACCCGGCATTGCAGGATACACAGTGACACGGTTGCCGCTTGGTCACTCAACTCTCTCACGTTCAATTGATAAATGATAACAGATCCAACATTGGCCGTCACCCCTCGGCCAAACAGTACATTGGCCGGCCAATGACATCAGCGGCCGGTCAATATGTGACGGTTTTATTGTTGAGAAAACATTTCCCAAAATCGCTGGCCATTGACGTCATTGGCCGGCCAATGACATCTTCGGCCGAAACGCCTGGCCACGGTCAACATTGGCCGGCCAATGACATACACTTCCCCATTCCCTAACATTGACCGTAACATATCCATAAACTGAGCAATTATACCAGCACTATGTCAGACCTTCAAGTCTGCATGCTAAACGACGCCCTCCTTAGGTGAATCTTCAGTTTTCGGGTAGTGCATATCGGGTACGGTTGATATGTTTAAAGTTTTAATCATTTTGGTGGATTATTTTGGGAAAATCGATAATGTCAGTCAGTAGATAAATCATCAAAAAGTGTTCATGCCAAAAATCATCTTCCACAGTCTTAAAACTATTAAGTTATGATTTTCATAGATCCACGTAAATATTTTACTCTTACATTCATTCATACTTACTTTATGAGCAATTGTTTGGTATTATTGTCTTTGTTTTTTGTTCTTTTTAAATTGTAATTGAATCCAGACCCATATTTTAGTCAAGTAGAAACTGTGTCATTTAGGTATGTTTTGGGGCCCTTGTGGCCCCGTATATCTTTGTGTAAGAGAATTAAATAAATAAATAATGGTATCCTCAGAAATAAAAACAAAGTCAGATGTACTGTTTCCAATTAACCAATGTATATCGTATAGCGTTGAAAATTTGAAGTATGAGCACTTTGCACCGAGAGGACAATGCACATTTTAATCGTGGTTGCCCCCTTTTTTTCAGCATTAAAACAAATCCTCTCCGAGCGGATATCTGTATGCAATGGCACAAGAATGGTGGCGTAATGATACTTAGTTACAACAATTTCCGAATTCTGACGGGCTCTCCTAGAGGCGGCAAAAAAATGAAAGAGAAGCTTCTCACCAGTATTCTTGATCCAGGTACTCTATAATTATTTTTTTCTCTTTTGTCAGAAAAATTACATCTTTTGAAGCAACATTATCGCACATCTTTCATGACACCTTTTGACATTGAGATCAGTCCAAAAGCCAAACTTATGCAGCTAATAATGATAAAAGTATTTCAGTTTGGAAAGCTCAAACATTTTGCTTACCTGTTAAATATTTTTTCAAACCCGAGCTCTGCGCGACACTATCAGAGGAAAACTTATGCATTTATGAAATGCACATTTGTGAGATTTGTTGAAAAAACTGGAAAATGAGGAAGTCTCCCTGCAGGCTGATTATTGAAATCGATGGAAAAAAGGGCAAATGTAAAATTCAGTGATCCTATTGGTAAAAACGGGTGGTTGATATAGACAAGGAGCAAGAATGATGGATTAATATTGTTCCTGGAGGGTTTCCATCAGCTAATCTATTGCTGTCTCCTTTGTCCATTGGAACCACTCGTTTTCACCAATAAAATCGCAACTCTATGGGTGTTCATGATTTTTGGGTTAAATGATCTTCCAGGCTAAATTTAAGGTTCTTCTCTAGTAGAGTACCCAATTTATTTATGACCTTATGCCGGCAAAATCAAAATCGCTTTGAAAAAACTGATGAAGGGTGATAATTATGCCAATTTTGTCTGAACGGCTCAACTTTATTTTTATAATGACATGTTTCCCTTGTAGGTCCGGATCTAATTGTCTGTGATGAAGGGCACTTGTTGAAGAATGAACAATCGGCAATTTCCAAAGCTGTCTCCAAAATGAGAACGATGCGAAGGATTGTGCTGACAGGGACTCCTTTGCAAAACAATCTTCAAGAATGTAAGTTACAACATCTTCTTAATTTTAACTTTTCAGCTAAATAATTAATTCCTCAACCAATTTTAACTTCAAAATTAAATCATCACAAAAAATGCTTACTTATCAAAATTTTATACGAAATATGTTCAAAGCCAGAAAGAAATTTCTAAAATCAGTGCATACCTGAGAATAAAGCGGCAATAATTGGACGTATTTGTGCTGAAAGGAACCATGTGCTTGAAGTTTGTGTGCAACATGATTCCCTCTAGGATAAATACATCAAATTAGCATCACAATCTATTGACTAAACTTCCTACTCAGGAAAAAACCAGAATTAAAGTTGATTGAATTGGCCATTGAAAACAAAATTATACATTCGGAAAAAAAAGTTGAGTTTTTTAAAATAAATCAATTATATTCCATTTAATTTAGATTGAAATGGATAAAGCATCATGAATATTTCCATTCGCATATTTCGGTAAAAGAGAAATCAATATTCTTTCTGAATATTTGATTTTTCTTCAAAAAAAAATTTGCTGAGCAGGTACGGACTGATTATTAAGTCTTGCTATTTTAACTTTGTCTGCGGAGTGAGGCGCATGATTCCATCTTCTTTTTCATGCTTTCTTAGTTTTAAACCAATTTTTTCTATTCTAGACCATTGTATGGTGCAATTCGTGAAGCCCAATCTTCTCGGTGAAAAAAGGGAATTCCTCAATCGTTTCGTCAATCCCATCATGAATGGACAGTACGGAGATTCAACGGCACACGATGTCAAGGTTATGAAGCAGCGGTCTCATGTCCTCCACAAAAAATTAGAAGGAATCGTCCAGGTATTACATTTTTCCAGCTTTTTGATTAATCAAAAAAAATTAAGTAAGTAGAGAAAATAGAATACAAGAATAAGGAATTTTCTTTTTGTCTATAAAAGCATATCTGCAAAAGTCCCTGTGCTGTTATTATTTTCCACAAAAATTTTAAAAACATCTAGATTCTTCCATCAAAATTTTGGGAACTTTTCCAATCTGTAAACGAAAGTTTTCATTTTTGTAAAACATCAGGATTTTTTAAATGATAAAAATTTGCCTCTCTGAACAATACGTACAAAAAGAATTTTTGTCAGTGTCTAAATCTGGAATATATGAGGACTTATTTGTAACAATAGCGGATGTCGAGTTTTCACATTGTGAGAAAATCGCATTTGAAGTTTTCGAAGCTTTGCACTTTGCCACCCGTAGAATCGAGAGGATTCTTATAAAGATTTTCATGAAGAGCAAACCTTCCTGCAAAAAACACACGTTTTGCGATCTATGTAAGTGAAAAATTGAAGGAGTAACAGTGATTCGAAAAAAATGTGACATCCGCTATTTTTACTGGAAACGTTTTTTTATGCATGAAACAAAGTCTTCAGGAGGGTTAAGGCTGGTGAAACGATTGAAATGAACCAACAGTAAGTCAATGCTGAGTCATTTAATACAATTGAACAAAAAATTTGACCGTTTGTAACTTCTAGAACAAAAATAAGGAACAAATTATAAAATCAGTTAAAAAATCAACAATTCTGGCGAGACTGTACCGATACGTATAATTTGAGTGTCAGCTATAGCCCATGGTCGGTGTCTGGGCAGTTATGGCAAATGGATTCGAATCTCTACCATGTCCTGCCGCGCCGGCGGGGGAGAAGAGTGGATTCTCACATCCGCTGTTTTTAGAAATAACATGATTTTCAGTTCCAATCTCGCCAAAAAATTGTCCTAGAAGTCTGAAACTTTGCGCAGGCATTCTTGAGGGTTCCAGAATTCGAAAAAAGCGTTTGCCCTAAAAATGGCGGTTGTCAGCGACCGCTGTTGTTACTTATAAGTCCGTATATAGAGATCGAACAAGAATTTTTTGAATATTACGAGATCTTTGTAAAAAATAATCCTAATCTAGTTATTTTAAAATGTTTTGGAACCTTAAATGGATACATAGGAAAATGTTAAATCAGATTCTGAAGTCAACACTATTTTTTATTTATCTTAGCTTCATAGAAAGTTATAAAAAAAATGCAGACCTCAGTAAGCCCCTAATTTTTCACAAATCTAAAGTGGAAGTGACTAATGGTATAGGAACATATTGGACTAGATAGTGACGCCTTTTGATATGCATTGAATTTTTTGATTATTTTCTTATTTTGCTCTATTTTTGTCGCAGCGTGCGGACTACACCGTTCTCAAACCCTATTTACCTGAAAAATATGAATACGTTATCAGCTTACGGCTCTCTGACTTACAGTTAAAACTGTACCAACATTATTTAGAAAATGTCTCTCGCAACATGATGGAAGACAAGAAAATGGGCGGAAGCTGCCTGTTCCAAGATTTCAATAATTTGAGGCTTGTTTGGACGCATCCATACCTTCTGAAACTGAAAGCTCTAGAAGATGATAAAAAAGAGGAGGTAATTATTTTCAATTTCAAAACCTTAAAGTTATAGCCCATGACCATCCTTTTATTATGCGATGTCTTTTTTCTTACATTGACCTACGTTCCGAAAATAACTAGTGAAGACATTGGCCAGTGCCCTACAGTGAGGAGCAAATATGCATTTCCAAAAATACGTGTGTGGTGATCTGCCATCAATGTTGTCTGTACTAAGATAGTTTTGAAAGATAGTCCCTCTAACCGACAGTAAAATAAGCGGGACAAGTAACATAATTTATTTTGATACCTTAGTGTTCCCCTGAAGAATTGTATTTTAGTCTTGCCTCTGCTCTACCTCAGCTGAGTTTAAAGCATTTTCCACAATTTTTTTTCTGCCATGGGAACTCGGAGAAAAAATGTTATAAAGTTGAGAAAATGGACCTTTCGTGGTGTCACTGAGCAGTAATCCCCATTTAAAGCTGTGTATTTCATCCTCATGTCTATGTATTTTGTAATAACTCTCTTAATCCTTGTCTGATTTAAAAACCAAGGATATTTTCTTTCTCAGCTCCTAAGACAGTTTTAATATTAAAACAAAAAAATTCAACATTTCAACTTCTGCTACTGATCCAGTTTTTAGTGGTCATGAAGATTTTTTGTTGCTCAGTTTGAAATTTTTCAAGGAGGAAAAAAGGAACAAAAACCATTCATTTTTTAGTGTATTTTCCAAAGAAAATACACTATTTTTTTGTTTTATTTTTGGCATCATGTTTTTCCAGCATCCTTTATTTCCAGGCGCTAAAACCTGGTTTCTCGACACATTTGGATTATGACAGCTGGTGAAGTCAGAACATTGCGTTACTTAATCGATTCGCTCAGTAATTTTAGTTTCTTTTCGCAGATGAAAGAATTCGATGAATCCGATGATTCCATAAAAGATTTCGTCACCGATGGTTCTGATACTGCATCAAGCACTTCTTCCGATGAAGGTTCCGGTTCGATGTCTGGAAGCGATGAAGAGTACAAACCGTCCAGCACAAGGAGAGTCACCCGAGGTCTGAAACAATCTGGTGCTGTTACTGGTAAGATTATCTTCAAAATTGTGAAGTGTTCCTTCAATTTGTGATGAGTGTCTTAAGTCTGAGCTGAGGCTGAAAAACTTATTCAGGAGTCATAACCTGTGATTTAATCTGCTCTGTTTCCCTTGTTATGTGGCTTGCTTAAGTTTTCTTCGTAACGTACATTCTACACATTTGAGAATAGTGCGGAAGCCTAAGTTTGGTTTCAGTAACTACATTTAGTTTTTGTTTCCAATTGAATTGGAACCTGCATTTTTCTCCATGTTTGCATTATTTTTAACGTGAAAAGCTCTCTCAAAAAACACTGTTGTAAAGTCCATAATTACTAATTCTTCGCTTCAAAATCGAAGTCGGCGGAAAATAACAGACCTGATATTTTCGATCTTTGAAATCTCATACTTTTATTTGTAATGACGATTTTTCATGTTTTCTTTGCATGGAACAATGGGCCATGGGAAGGTCTAAAGTAGAAAAGAACCGCACATGTTTCCTTTTCAAACTCTTATGTAGAAAACGATTCTTATAACAAAAAGTTCGAAAGTTATATGCTGAGCGAGATTTTAACAAATATTTTAACATAGATCAAATAAAAGTTAAATCATGCAAATTACCTCATCTGTATTTTTGTCATTTAACCATTGTTGATTCTAAACATTGGTATCTTGTTCTGGAGTTGACTTCGAGACTTCCTGTCGAGTGAATTGTTGTCTATGTAAGATTTTAAAGAGGAACTATGTTGCATTGTGCTTGAATTCATACTTAGTCTAAAGGACTATTCAGGGACATCATTTCTTCCAATTTATACCCTTGGCACTCGATCGATTCGCTGTAAGTCTCTCGCAACCCTCTACAACATGGCTACCCCTGTCATTGTGAAATCATTCTTGAGAATGTTTTCCTGTTTAATATCGAATTCCGATTTTTTAATCATTTGACTTAAATCACTCCTAAGAAAGAATAATGCATCGAAGCAATGAGACTTGTTTTCCTGTAGATGGTAGCATTAACTAAGTGATCAAAGAAGGTGTTAGGTTGGCAGTTATTGAAATTTCCAACCTTTATAGAAGTATAACTACATAGTTTAATCACCGCCTCATTCCAATTTCAGAAGAGGAAATGAAAAACGAAGAAAGCGACAAGAAGGATCCTTTAGCAAATCAATGGTGGAGCGAGCTGGTGACTCCAGAAATGTTTGATGACATTACGCTCAGCGCCAAGCTCATGTTGCTTTTCAGTATTTTAAGAGAATGCGAAGAAATCGGTGATAAAGTGTAAGTACTTTTTCCTGCCTCTTTTTTGCAAGTCGATAGTGAAACTACCAAATTGCATATCATGGTTTTTAAACTGTCCTATATTTCTCCAAAGGATTACCGATTTTCTCTCAAGATTTTGTGTGATTTTTTTTGCCCTGTTAAGACCATTTTGACATTTTCTAAAGATCATGGACAAAAGTGTGTAGTTTTACTCTTTTGTAGAATGATAAGGAAAGGGACGAAACTTTCGAAAAAATCATAATTTATCTTTATTTTCCTAGTAGGTAGTCTGATTGCTAGTGTAAGTTTTGTATAGCTTTTACCTTCCACTGAATTGTGAATGTAAAAATATCTTTTGGATCAATTGTTTATTTTCTCAGAACTTTTGAAAAAGCTCTTTGTGATACCGAGGCTTTTATGAAAAACTTTGCAAATCCAAACTTTCACCGTTTTAGTTTATTAGTTTTTAGCTTTGTCGTCTTAGATTTTTTGAAACCTCAACTAGAGGATCAAAATAAATTGGAGATCAAGAAAGTACTTGTAGTATAGTTTTTTGAGTTTATATTCCTTCGCCAAAGTTTCCAATACATTTGAAGAATTATAATACAGCAATACCTTGATTATCTGATGAATTGTGGTGGAAGTCTAAGCTGAATATCAAAAAAGCCATACAAAAATACATCAAACTATTTAATATATGTTTGGAAAAAATGGAAAAAAATAAAGACATAATAAGAAAAACAACACTCCTCTTTGTTGCGCTGGATAACTGGAGTATCAGAAAAATAATGAGCAGATTATGAAGGTATTTTTTGTGTCCATAATAAATATTTCATTCCATTTAAAATTGCTTGTTAAATTACGCCTGATAAAAAATGAAACTTGACTCTATTTTTCTCGGTTTGCACGTCTGTTTCGCTTGGTTCTTTCTCCCAAAAAACTGTCCAGACTTTCCTGTGCAATGGTTTACCTTATTTGTCCAAGCTAAGCTCCGTGCCTTACCTTTTTAACTTTTTAAGTAACGGAACCTCCTTCAATTTATATCCTTTATTTTGTTTATAGGCTAGTTTTCAGTCAGTCGATTGTGTCTTTAAATGCAATTGAATATTTCCTGGAAAAAATCCATGAAGCAACAAGGAGGAAAGGAGATTTCCATGGCTTCAAGGGTTCCTGGGTGTTCGGGCTGGACTATTTCCGATTGGATGGTACTTGTTCGTCTCAAAATAGAAGTACAAACTGTGATACATTCAACTCTCCCAAGAATTTAAGGTGAGACAACACTTTTCAAAATTATCCTTTGCGTAATTGATTACCGGTAATCAAAGCTGCAGCAATTAACTTTGAAAAACTACCGCAAAGTATAGTAACTGAATCTGTGAAAACTGATCCAACCTTTTTTTTTAAGGTTTATAGAAATATCCAACCCTTTATAGATCGCCTGCAGACTTTTTCTAGGATTCAATTCATTACTTTACTTCTCTTGTATTTAACTTTGTTTGATTATTTACCTCATTTCAGGGGGCGTTTATTCTTAATTTCAACCCGCGCTGGAGGTCTCGGGATCAATTTGACTGGTGCAAACAGGGCTGTGGTCTTTGATGTATCGTGGAATCCCTCTCATGATGTTCAGAGTATCTTTAGAATTTATCGTTTTGGTCAAACCAAGCCGTGCTATATTTACAGATTCGTCGCTAGGGTGAGTAAAAGGCTCCAATTTTTTGTAAACCTCGCAATCAGTGTTCGAATCCAATAGATGCCATGTGCAAAATGCATCTGATAATTTCTCATTGGCGCCTAATTAATTGAAAAGAGGGCCAAAGTTTGCACCTAGATACGCACAGTAGCTATCTATGAAACCGTTGAAATCAAGACAAACTTTCTCAATCGAAACTTGAATCTATGAGGGACCTCTCAGGCAGGGTTCAGCTGAGTAACGGAAATCTACGAAAATGTGCAATGAGTTAAAAAAAAGCAGAATTCTAAGGTGCCAAAATACATCAGGTTCTCATCCTAAAGTATTTCACAAAAAAGCCTTTTGGCCTCTAAATATCGATGAAGCCGGACAAAGTAGCCCCAGGGTGGTACGAAATGTAAGAAAGAAATGAAAGATTGGAAATTTCAGTGAAATATTTCATGAAATTTCATGAAGCTGAACTATTTCATATTTTTCTGGGACTAGAGTATGCAAACAGCACTCAAACACGTGAAAATAGAAGACTGTCACAATTTTTACATTTTGCTTAACATGAAAAGAAACTGGTATTTTTCAATATATTTCGTAAATTCCTGAAATTTCATGAAATATTTCACGTAATTGTTGCAATTTTGTGAAATATTTCTCGTGAAATTTTAACATTTTATCTTTCATGAAATTTCGCCACCCTGAGTAGCCCCTAAATTTCTCTGCAAGACTCTAACACTGCTGGCAATAAAATTCTCCTGATAGATATTTTCATTTCTAAGAATCTAAAACAATCTGTGTTCACAGTTTTTAGGGTTCAATCAGAGTGATAAGTTTTTACTGATATCTGTTTCATTAAACGGTATGAACTGATGGCATTTTTTATCGGTTTACTGTTTCTTCTACCAATGGTGAACTAAGTATTTGCCATTGCTTATGAGTTGCTTCCCTAACTATTTTGAAATTCCGAGTTTTATTACTCAATACGTACATGTCAGCTTACCATAATGATAACAGTCGAAAATTCAATTCCCTCTTTCCTGAATCACGGCGTCCAATGTGTTGCTGGATTACACCATGTTAATGGGAATATGAAAAAGTTCAAGTAAAAAACTTGTATTTTCTTCATGCCAATTTTTTTATTTTATTTTTCCAACCAATTCAACCTGCAATTGTTACTTCCAGGGAACGATGGAAGAAAAAGTGTATGAGCGGCAAGTAGCAAAGATCTCATTAGCGTACCGTGTTGTCGATGAGCAACAAGTTGACAGACACTTCTCCTCGTCTGATCTGCGAGAACTGTACATGTTGCCAGACAACAAAGAAGAGGCGCTGACTCCAATCGTGCCGAAGGTAAGGATAGAATACTTTAGGTTGTGGACGTACTTTTGCGTATTAACCATGCCTTGGAACTGACAGACATTGCAGTGGAGTGATGGCTTAAAGGAACAAACAAAACGGATCAATTTCTGCTTGGGGCTGATGCCTTTGAGACTTGCCACAGCTTCCGAGACGATCTCTTGAGCCTCAGTTGATAAAACCTCATCCTGTCTTACATTTGCAGAAAGCTCTTGTCATGCTGAAAACGCCTGATTAATCTGTATTGCAAAAATCCTCAGTTTTTAATTGAAAAATTTGTGAAAATTGTGTTGATCTTTACCTTTAACCCTCTCATGTGTCTTTAAAATATTTGGGAGGTTTGAAACTTTAAAAAATGATGAAGCACTGTCTCGTGAACGAATGTGGCAAGTCTCAAAGGCATCTGCTGCCGGTGAAAATTAACCCATTTTGCACGTAACCCTTTGAGGATTCCTAGGAAATCCCTGCTTCATGGATGAGGTAAGGCTTTGTAAATGAAACTATCCACAGGAAAAAGGACCTTAATTTTTGTTCACTTTGTGATCAATCTCCGATTGATTTCTACTGATGGGATTTTGAATTTTCCACGAAAAATGTTTTTAATCCCCAACAAATTAAACTGGAAGCAATTAAATTAATATTTTTACCCGTAAAGAGCATGAAATAGCATTTCTCTACCATATTTTTTAGAGTCAAACAAATCAGATTTTTCACAAAATAATTTTATTTTCTTTTTGGTTTTTCTGCCAAATGTTTGTGAAACACTTCTGTTTGCAGCACTATTAATATCTTAATTTTGAGCCTCTAGGTGCAAAAGTCCTTCTCCTCCCGAAAAATCCCAAAGTATGAAATTCCTCAATGTCAACTCAGCAATATGTACCTTTTCTCAATTCTTTGGCGATCTAAAAAATTTAAAAACTTTATTTAAGAAAAAACAAAAATTTTCCCAATCAAACAATATCAGATAACGTTACAGTTTTGATAAAAATTGGGGACAGTTTTGAACTGAATTATGCTTCGAAAATCTCTTATTATTTGGAATGGTCATGAAAATTGCTGCATATCGACGGTGAAACTACCAAACCTCGTATCTCGTTTGCAGTGTTTTAAAATCTCCATTTTTATGTAACTTTTTGGAAGGAGAGCAAATCAGCATCATACGTTGAAGTTTTCATCGAATTTTTTTTTGCATGGAGAAAAAAAATCATGGAAGTTTTTTAAGAAATGATGTTAAGTAACTTTCCGTTTAAAAATTGAAGTACAGCAGGAAGGCTGCAATGTCCCAAATTGATGTACGTAATTTTGGAGTTTCACCATTGATATGTTAAGAAATTCAAAAAATTTTACGGTTTACTGTTGGAGACAAGGTCATCGTATGGTTAAATTTTTCCCTCTAATTGTTGAAATTGAGCTCCTATCGGTCATGGATGTTCGATTTTACCTTTTGACATTATATATCTTCTTCTTTAACATTTTGGAGGCATTTTTTATTTGTCAAACAAAAGCTATGGTATATTCTGAATGAGTACAAATCATCAGATTTGACCCACTGCGTTAGATTAGTTTTCGATCAAATTTTTAAAACTGATTTTCCTTGCTTCAGGATCGGCTGATGGCCGAACTGTTGAAAGAGCACAAAAATACTATTTTCAAAATCCATGAGCATGACTCACTGCTGGAGAACACAGAAGAAGAAGATCTGGACGAAGAAGAACGGAAGGCAGCTTGGGAAGCGTATGAAAATGAAAAGAATTACAACGGTAAGCTCTTTTTTTTATTCTTTCTTGGCCTAGAATTTTTTTAAATTCCTGTTTTATCACAAATTAGCATTCTATGTGAAGCAGCATTTATTAGTTTACACTGAGTAAATTTTCTATGAGAAGTGCGTTTCCAAAGTCGACTGTTTGCTGCAATGTGGTGTTCTTGTTTCACAACCTATACATGACTTGCCTCTTGGCCGAGTGCCTAATTTTATGGCAAAATGTCCAATTCCCTTCGACATGCGCTATTTTTCCTACTTTTTGAAGTAATGAGGGGGAAAATGGAAAAAATTGCCTTATGATCAAAGATTTGCCCCGTGTTTGGCACGAGATGGAGCATTTTCTGTACCTCTTTTGGTCGAATTTTTTGACGAGATCATCAGGGTTGCAACCCGTTGGAGGAGAATATTTTGCTGAAGTTTAAAACTAAATTCAGTTGTTTGATGAATTTTAGTCAACGTTTGCATCCATTCACTGAAATTTAGATGTAATCGTCATCGCTGCCAGCATGAAAATCTAATGTTACGGGTGCATCATCAAAGAGAATTTCGTTTTGTTGTAATGGAGGTTGGCAGTAAGTTGAAAACTTGACCAAATTCACTAGTCGAAATTCGACTTTAGATTTTGACTAATTGATGGTGATTGTATCGATTTCATATTTTTTAAACGCTTTTCTTCTTGGTTCTTTTGCAGCAAATACAGCCAGGATGAATCTGAACATGGGAATGCCGGGCATGGGAATGGGAATGCCAATGCCAGGCATGGGAATGGGGATGCCAGGAATGCCAGGAATGCAGCCTGGAATGTATCAGCAGAGGTTCCAGTCAACAGAGGGTCTACCTGGGCCACGCAACAACTACGGAATCCATCCAGGAATGGTTGGCTTGAACATGGCTCCTGGATCCAGGCCGGCCAACAGCAACGCTTTCCCCAAGATGTTCACTCCGTCGCTCCTGCAGCAATTCTACATGCAAAACCCGAAAGTCATCTCAAATCTCTACCAGAAACTCAAGGCAGATGTGAGTCTCAAATTTCTTTTATCCTGAATTTCAATCACCAATGTGTTGTATTTTATTGAAATTACTATTAAACATATTCATATTCAACATGTTACTTAATTTTCTATCAGGGCAGAAAAACACTCTTATGCCTCAAACCAGGGTTACCGCTCAATTCAGAGTATTCAAGTTGACAACACTGTTTCCCAGGGTGTCTAGCATCGGGCTTTTCCCGATTCTATCAGGATTTAATCCCTACTTCATAAGGATTTGAGGAATAATTGGTCGCAAAATCAGGATTTGAGATAAGTCGGCCGTCTAATGGAATTTTATTATCGAGCTATTTTTGTGAAGTTCAAGTTTCTCCACCAAAAATCAGGATTTGAAAAAATTATGAAATAAGGGTTTAGCAATAAAAAATCAGGATTTCATCAGGACTTCCCCAAATGAAAAAAAAAACTAGACACCCTGTTTTCCCTTCATTTAAAAATATCGATTTTAGGCGAGGCAAGCTTCACAAAAGATTGAGTGTTTTACATACATTTAAATGGAAGAAAATCAGTGTTTTCAACTTGTAAGAATCGCCAATGACTTCCTATCAATTACTCATGTAGCTATGTTGTCAAACCAAACATTTTCAAAATTTGAAAGTTAACAATTTCTGTACTTTTTACAAAGAGCTCTCGATTTTCAATATTTTGAAAGTAAGAATTCATCAAACTATGCACTATCACTGTATTTTCCTTTTCAGAATGTTCTTTGTATACTTTTTCAACTGTCAGAATTGGCAAAACTTTGCATTTTAAAAAATGCTGTATTTTTTTATATGTAAGTCCGTTTCTGAGCCAGAAATTATTACAGCAACTATTGAATGATGCAAATGTCTAAAAATAATACCTGTCTATGGATGGCCAAAGTACGAAACCTCGTATCCTCATTCCAGTGTTTCAAAACCCCCACTGTTTTTTTATATTTTAGAAGAAAAACAAGCTAACTTAATCCCTTGAAATTGATATAAAATTTTCTGCCAACAGAAAATAAAAATCAAGGAAGTTTTCAAGGAATTAAGTCAAATAGTTTAAAAAAGAAAAAATAAAGTAGGCCAAGAAGTCTACAACATTGCAAACGGAGGCACGTCGTTTCGCATTCTGGTCATGATATGATATTATGGCCTGGATATGAAGACGAATAATTATTTCTTTCAAAATCAGCAGAAGAGTCAGAATTTCAGTCTGAGTGAGAATGTTTGACACTTTGCCTGGGCATTCAACGAAGTGGTGGATTTGATTATTTGCCTCTGCAATAACCTCTATAAGCTCTTTTGGCGTAAGAGTCCTAAATTTTATCTTTGGAAATTGTTCATGTCATTGACAAAGTAGTAAATTTGATTTTCCTGCTTGTTGCAGAATCCTCTGAAACCGGAAAGTCAAATCAACGGGATGCTGCAGCAGTGCGTGATGGGATACTTGAACGCAGCCATGGCTCAAAGTCAGCATAGCATGAATCAAGGTATGCCTTCGGCTCCACCGACTGCTGCACCTGCCGCAGCGCCCAGCGGGCCAATACCCATGCCTCCACCGAGCGGACCTATCCCCATGCCGCCCCCGGGTGGAGCCATCCCCATGCCTGCCCCAGGCGGGGCTCCAAGCACAGCGAAATAAGCGCAGACTCCATGGCTGTACCCTTGTAAATTCTCTCCTTTTCTTTCGTTTGTAGACTATATTGCAGCTTTCTTATCGGTGCGCCTCCACTGTTCATAAATCATCGCTTTCCCCCCCTAGCTCTTCTAGTAACCGTCTGTAGGAAATCAGTATTTCTGCACAAAGAGAAAAAAGGAGGTGGTTGCTACTTATGATTTGTTTACCATGTGATGTAGGTGGGCTCAACAAGGCGTCAGTATTTCAGAAGAATTCTAAGTTCAAATTATGAAAAACGAACCAGTTTTTGTTTAGGTCAACTCAAAATATAATCTCAAAATTTTAAACAGAATGACTTTTTTCCATGAACTACACCATTTTTAAGAAAATAGATGATGAAAAGCGTCTGCGCCCATCTACGTCATAGATTCAATCTAAAATGCCTAAAATAAGACCACCTCTTTTGTTTTCTCTATGGTGTTAGGGGGAATTAGTCCTAGGACTTTATTATTAGTTTTCATATGTATTGTATTCAGGCATGTCCTCGCAACAGAATAGGCTGTGAACAGAAAGGTTAATTGAGGGAAAGGCCAAAAAGGAAACAAATTCTCAGAGACACATTATTTCATGATCGGTGAGCGGCCTCTTGCTTCAGCCATGTTCTCTACTTCAGCCTGATGTCACCTTCGCACTTGGCAACGCTTCTTTAAATTAAACGTGAAGATACAAGGAGATTTTTTTTGATCGATCGTTTAATTGTTCTGAAGACATGCCTGTTCATATCTTTCATCTATCATATTCACCAACACGCCACAGAATAATATTCTTTCAGCCAAGCTTTCCCCTACGCTGTTTGTAATTTTTGACAGTTATCAAATTTAACGCTCAATTTTTTTTTTATTTTTTTAAAAAAAAAAGTTTGAAATATGATCTGAACTTTTTGGAATCTTTTTCCTGTTCCTTCTATAACTGTTATTTACTTCATCAATAGTTGTAAACTTTTGCCAAAGCCTAGAAAAAGAGTTGTTTCTTGTGTAAATTTCTCAATAAGTGCATTTGCAATGCCTAGTTTTCACTCGATCACCTCGCTGTTTGAGCCTTAGGATCTCGCATCCTCATCGTCCCTTTAAATATTACATTCTTGCTAAAAAGTAAATTAATGTCTGGAATTTGATAACTTGCGTAAGATGCAAAATGACTGACATTACATGATATGCATCTCTATTGAAAATGAACAACAAAGTAATTGCTACTTTTGTTCTTATTTTCATAGCTTTGCTCCATGTTTTTAAACCACATTCGTTCCTTTGACTCAATATATAAATCATTCATTGTAAATTATTTTATCTTTTCAATCCGGTAAGCTCACAGTAGCGCAGTCTTTAGCACAAATTTTCAAGGTGAGAGTTAATTGCAGATCTTACAAATGCACCAGTTGAGACTTCTCATTAAATTATTCACATGAACTACTTAGTTCCATCCCTAAAATGTTTGATACAGCATTGAAAATGTCTGTGTATTGCAGTTTTTAACATCACATAGTGTCCATTCCGATTTCTGTAAAGCAGCTGGCCCATGCTATAAATGTGTCTTATCAATTTAGTAAAATTATATTACCTGTGGTAGGGTGTACCTATAACACTCTTGCATCCCTTTTTAGAAGTTTTTAGAGCATGATTTCTCTAGTTAGTATTTTAAGGGTTGATTTTCATGGAATTGTTATAGCTGACTAAATGTACATATTATTTTTTTGTTGTTCTATTTATTCTGTCCCAATTCTATAGGGAGTAGTATAACTATTTTATGGAGTGAATTTTATTAAATTTTGATGAGTATTTCTTCATAGAATTTGTTTAGTCTCTTAAGGGATAAAACAATTCGAAGTTCTGGGAACGATAAAAATTTTAAGAGTTTACAATTTTTAGCAATCACAATTTATAGGTAGGCTCTGAACAAGTGAAAGCTAATTTTCTTCTCTTCTCTTTTTCAACGTTTCATTCTCTCAAAATTAATTCCATTTCACTCAGTTTCCATAACATCATTTAAATTTAATTTAATTTCGATTTAATTTGTTACTCAGTTACACGGAAAGTGGTGTGCAATGAGTGGCTTCAACAACCCACAAGTTCCTTTTTTATTAATTTAGTCAAAAATTTTTGAAGTTATTTTGGTAATTATAAATTATTATAGATTCCTTCTTTGTACATACGGCTTCAGTGTTGTGATAAACACTTTTGTATTAGGATGTCATAGTATTAGGGCAGAAAATGTTAATTCCTTTTCGTGTAAACTTTTGGAGTCCCCTCATGTGTTAATATATTTTTATTTGTATTTATAACCAATCATTGATACATTTTTTTTATTTTATTATTATGATATTATTTTTTTTTTTTTCATTAATTGGTACTTCCTGGTATTCTGAATAAAATGTCTTCTATATTAGATTCAGTTGCTCTATTTTCTTCATGAACCTTAGATAACATAACATCATCATCACCTTGACTCCTCAAATTGTCATTCTGATGCCTGATTGTTGTTTGAAAGAGACATAGTCAATTTCATCAGTTTAGTGACAGACTGACTTTCTTTTACTGAAAATCATGTCCTAGATGATCACTGAAACTTAAATATAAAAGTTTTCTTTTCTGACCGTGGATCAGAGATGCTTAAAACATTAAGCAACTTGCCATACCACCAGAGAGGGGGAGGGGGGTGTTTGTCAGGGCCGGAGTTACCTACTTACCGCTCATGGGCCGCCTGTATTTTGCCGCCCCCCTTTTCATTAATTTTGAAACATCAATAAAAACCGTGTCGGAGGGGAGAAGTACATAAGACGCATTTACTCGTGTTGGACACATTTTTTGCGAAAGCCTTGTCAACACTACTAACAAAATTTCTCGGAACTTTGCGCGAAATTTTAGTTCCTTAAACCTATCTATGTGTGGACAAGGGCTTCCATTTATGAGAAATTAACAAAAAAATTATGAAAGAACAAACATAAACGTGGTTTAATAATTTTAAATTCCGCCGCCGCGCCGAGCTGACCGCACTGCGTTTGGCGCAATGCGTGAAGTATTCATCCTGTCTTGTAAGCGCTATGCGTTTCACGCTGACCGCACCGCACTGCGTTTCACGCAATGCGTGAAGTATTCGTGCAGTCTTGTAGGCGCCAATATGTGTTACATGCCATTCATGCCAACCGCCGCGCCGTGGGCTTCTTCTTTTCATCTCAAGTCCTCGTCATTATTGCTCTCCACGCCGTGCCGCTCCAGGCCAAATTGCGTATTTGGTTTCTCTCTTAACTCGACTAAAAAGGTGCTGTCTCTTGCATCACCGGACGACAAATTTAGAAATTACTATACGCTCAGGAAATGAGAGATTTTGTCGCCTTTTCTCGTTTGGACTTTTTTTTCTGAATCCAATTTTTTTTATACCTACATTTAGAAAAATTTTAAACTTTGCCGCCATGGACCGTGGCCCATGTAGAACCCTCTAAATTCGGCCCTCT